CTGCATTATAGCTTGCGGGAAGCACCTCCTAGGTTTGTCGTGAATGCCTTGAAGTCTGTCTGCCCTTGACTTTGCTCCTGCTGAATTGTTTCCTCAGTGGCTACTTTGCTTCTTTTATGTAACAGTGATTAAAGTTACTGTGCTGGTTAAATAGGACCCCTGATAGTTAGCTGTGAATCTTTCCAAGGGTAAGCTCGCCATCATTAAGGTGATGGTTAATCTGCAAAGCTACCAGAAGAAAAATTTGGAGAAGCGCTCTGAAATTTTATTTTATGCAAATCTAAATCTGCCTGGTGGAAAAACAGTTACCAGGCCTGGAAAAGCAGGATGCTAAGAAAGTTGTTTTAGCATTCACTAACTTTATCCTCAGAATCTGATTTTATGCACTCAGGGCAAAGCAATAGTTTTCTCATTTTCACATTAATTTTCCTCTTGTGTGGTCTGAAGAAAAACACAGACGGGACTGCACAGTCTCTGGAGCTGTTGTGAAAGGCAAAAATGCTATCCTAGATTTAGAGGAAACGCAGAGAGGAGGAGGACGGGGAACTTGTTCTAACTTTTCTTCCCCTTTGTCCTTAAAAAAAATTCGTTTGTTTCTTTTTGATGTGTAAAGGTTTACAAATCAGTGAGCATTTGTTGTGGTTTAACCAGGCAGGCAGCTAAACACCACACAGCTGTTTGCTCATTCCCTACCTCATTGGATGGGGGAGAGAAAATCGTATTAATAATAGAATATACAAAACAAGTGATGCACAATGCAATTGCTCACCACCCACTGACCGATGCCCAGCCTGTCCCTGAGGAGTGATCACCGCCCCCCAACTCCCCCCAGTTTATATGCTGAGCATGGCATCATATGGTATGGAATATCCATATGGATATTTGGCTTATTTGGGTCAGCTGTCCTGGCTGTGTCCCCTCCCAGCTTCTTGTGTACCCTCAGCCTTCTTGCTGGCTGGGCATGAGAAGCTGAAAAGTCCTTGACTTGGTGTAAGCACTACTTAGCAACAACTAAAACGTCAGTGTGTTCATCCTAAATCCAAACCACAGCATTATACCAGCTACTGGGAAGAAAATGAACACTATCCCAGCTGAAACCAGGACAGCCTTGAAGGTTTTATCTTTACTGTGGTGCTTTGTTTCTTTCAGTTTGATAACTTGGAGGATGTGCTGGTTGTTGTTTGAATCAAGAGTTAGTAGTGTTTGGTAGGTATTTTCTTCTGAAATATCGAATGCCCCTTATTAAGTAGATCTCTCATGAAAATAAATCTGCGTGAAGACTGTGAATCAAAAAAAAATAATTCCTCTCAACAAGTATCGTTTTACTTGCTTAGTAACAAAGATGTGCTTTTGTGTCTTTGGAGCTCATCTACTTTAGTATATTTTGAAGGTTTTTTTTCCCTTCTGTTTCTGTGCAAATTTAACATGATTCTTTTCCCTATTCTTTTTGTTTGTTTGTTTGTTTGTTTCTTGCTTGGGTACATCGAAAGGCATAAAAACGACCGAAAAAATCTTCATGTATTGTAAATGCGTAAACCCTGTGACTTCTTGTCTGTCTTCCTAGCTAAGTGAGGTATATAGCCTTATAATGCCCAGGTGTCCCCTGGACTCATACCGCTTAAATGATTCCAAATTTCATGCAGATACAGCCAGGTAACACAGAAAGAAGTCCATCAAAAGAAGTCCTTATAAATATTCCAGCCATAGGAAAAACTTAAATCAGTCCTTGCAATTAGGGATGAGAGACAAATCCATGAGGAACCAGGCTTTAATTTTGCTGCTCACAGAACCTGCTGGTTTCCTGTGTGTG